TGTGACCCCTGTGCTTAGTCATTCAGCTGTTTGTGGGGGTCTGTGTGGTGCAGGAGAGGCTAGGTCCTGTTTCCTGTCCACCAAAATGGGTTTCTCAGCTTTGTGAGGGTACTGTCTATAAATACTTGCGACTAACAGAATGTCTGATAGTCACAGACAGCTGCAGCCACCAGTCAGCGAACCCGCAGGGATTGTCCACAGCAATCTCTACAGCCCTGTGAAGAGTGACAGTCGTTCTCTGTTGTGGGGAGTAAGTAGGGTGCCCATAAAACCCAACCAGAATCAGGGGACAAAACAAAATGGCTGACCTTATTATAGACTCCTTGGTGCAGCCTCGGATGTACCAACAGACCCTGCTTCAGGATGGACTGTGCGACCTCTTGCAGAATGACAAGTTTGTAGACTGTGTCCTCAAAATCCAGGACAAGAAGCTCCCTTGCCATCGTTTGGTTTTGGCAGCCAGCAGCCCCTTCTTCAAGGCCATGTTCCTGTCTGACCTGGAAGAGAGCAAGAAACGTGAGATTGTCCTGAAAGATGTGAAGCCTGGTGTTATGGGGATGATTCTGCACTACTTATACACCTCTGACATTAATCTGACAGAACAGAACGTCCAGGATATCTTTATGGCTGCAAACATGTACCAGATACCTTCCATCTTCTCTGTATGTGTGTCCTACCTCCAAAAGAAGCTGGTGCTGGGAAACTGCTTTGCCATCTTAAAGCTGGGGCTGCTGCTGGAATGTCCCAGGCTCACTCTGAGCGCTAGAGAGTTCATCTGTGAACACTTCAAGGTTGTTGTCAGGGACGAGGACTTCCTGCAGTTGGGCCCAAGTGAGCTGGCCATGATACTCACCTCAGATGCCCTCAATGTCGAGCGGGAGGAGCTGGTGTTTGAAACCTTGATGGACTGGGTCAAATATGATGAGCCAAACAGGCATAAGGATCTGCCAGAGCTGTTACACTGTGTCCGTTTCAGGCTCATACCTCTGGATTACTTCAAAGAAAAAGTTGAGAACCATCAGTACATCCAGTTCAGCCAGGAAGTCAAGAAGGAGCTGGCTCTTGTCAAGGATGCTCACAGAGGGCATCTCCCAAAGCCCACGAAACCCAGCAGTGATAAGGCAATGAAGAATGGAGCGAGTGAAGAGGAGGAAGATGAGGAGGAGGAGAAAGGGTACCTGCCTGGTATACTCAACAACAATCCTCGCTTTGGGATGTTTGACATGGAAGTGATACTTATGGTCAGTGACAGAGGGACTGTGGCCTACAACCCTGTAGAAAATGAATGCTTTATGGTGTCAGAGTCCACAGAAATCCCCAAGAACCACTGCAGCCTGGTGACCAAGCAAAATCAAGTGTTTGTTGTCGGAGGACTCCTTTACAATGAGGAGGACAAAGACGAACCATTCAGCTCATACTTCCTACAAGTTAGTATATAATATCATAATTTATCATTTGTTTGTGAAAGTCCTGAAAAACTCAACAAAGTCCTAAAATATGTATCTTTGTAAAGCAGATCTGTTGTGCATTTCACTCCTCATACATCATTCTCTTCTTCCCCAGTTTGACCCAGTGAGTTCAGAATGGTTAGGAATGCCTTCACAACCAAACCCTCGCTGTTTGTTTGGGCTGACGGAAGCTGACAACTCCATCTTTATTGTGGGAGGAAAGGAACTGAAGGATGGTGATCATGTCCTGGACTCAGTGATGATCTATGACAGACAGTAAGTATAATCAGACACCAAATTAAATTTATTGCTTGGTCCAAACTGTAGTCATCATCTGACATCATCTATTTGAAAACACTTTCAGCTATTACAACTTTTTTGGAAATATATCATAAGGGTAACTGACCAAGCTTCATCCTCTTAGTACATTCAGATAGTCAGCAATGCCCATTTAGTGCAGTATAAAACTATCACCCCCATAGTCACATTAAAGGCATCCCATATATGTATGTACAGTAATAGCAACAGATATAAAATGTCACATGAGGAGAGTTTTGTGGATGCCCTTTGAATACCAAATTCAAATTCTTTTCATGAAAACAGCCTTGGTTTTAGATTTGTCACCATGTTTTGGGTTTTGAACAGATCGATGTATTTAGCTTAAAAATTTGAAGTACGGTTTGAACCCAGGAATACCTAATGCCTCAGTTTATTTGAAATTTTGAAGTTACGTGGTTTTCTCCGGGCAGCAACATGGCTGCTTTAATTCATGTTTTATCAGAATGATTGTTGCACAAATGACCATCATCAGTAGAGTCAGCTCATGTACTGTACTTCTTTGTACCCAGATCATTCAAATGGGGAGAGTCAGACCCTCTGCCTTATCAGGTATATGCCCATGGAACTGTGTCACACAATGGTCTTGTCTACGTCATTGGAGGAAAGTCTGAGAGCAAGTACGTGCCCCTCCTGATTGTCTATCATTTGAACTATAATCTCACATTTCATGATTGATTACACACCAGGATTGTATTTTTCCACTGTGACTTATCCTGAAGAGGGTCACAGGCAGGGGCCAGCCTATCGCAGGGCTCACACACACACACACACACTTCATTCAACATGTAGATACAATGTATGACAGCGATAGCTGACATGGCAAGGTTTCATAGCAAGTTCTAAATTTGCGCTGCTAGTCATTTTGTGACAGCAGGTTTTACTCTGGACATTCCAGAATGTGATATTTTAGAACTAAATCAATAAAAGGTGTACTCTAGCAATTTAATACATTAAGCGCCTAACATGAGACAGATTAAAAAACACTATCCTCAAAATCAAGGCAGAGGCCAGTAAATCCCTATTCTGTCAAACCTCCAGTTTGTAACAGGGTTATGTATTCAAACTTCCACAGCGAATGTTATACAACTGTTCACTCAGCACTGCTGCTCATAGAGCTCCATGTATCAGTGAAATGCTCCTTTAACAAGCTCCATCTAATGTTTTTATGAAGGAAATGCATAAGAAGAGTCTGTGTCTACAACCCCACTAAGTTTGCATGGAAGGACCTGGCTCCTTTGAAGACAGCTCGCTCCCTGTTTGGTGTCACAGTCCATAAAGACCAGATCTTCGTGGTTACAGGGGTCACGGACTCAGGCCTCACCAGCTCAGTGGAGGTCTATGACATTGCCACCAACAAGTGAGACAACAGTTTTTTAAAATATGATCCACTTCTTATTGTTATAAAGTGAAGCATACTGTATGTCCATAGTAATAAAATGACTTGTTGAGTGTAAACAGATCATTAGGTCATAAAATAGCACTTGTATTGCTGTGGGTATCACACAGTAATATAGCAGCTTATTTAACACCATCATCACTTCCCTGTGTGTGTGTGTGTGTGTGTGTGTGTGTGTGGTTATTGTCCTATTGTATTATCAGGTGGTCTGAGTTCACAGAGTTCCCTCAGGAGCGCAGTTCCCTCAACCTGATCTCGATGGGAGGCTTCCTGTACGCTGTGGGGGGCTTTACCATGATGCCTAATGAAACCAGTGAGGATCCTGTCCCCACAGAGATGACTGACATCTGGAGGTGAGAACTGTCTGGGTAACACTAATACAAGTGCCCCTATTTGCCATTTCTAAACAGCATACAAAGATTTGATCAGTAACATCAAAGTGTAATAGTAAGCAGACATCTTGTGTTTATTAAAAATTCTAATTCCTCTAAAGACACATTTTATAAACCTGTGGTTACTACAATGTAATGTATTATCTCCATTTGCAAATCTTATTCCTCCATGGTATGTGCTATCTATCTATCTATCTATCTATCTATCTATCTATCTATCTATCTATCTAAAATAAAACCAGGCTCTTAACTTCTTACAGTAATGGCTGCAGTATACTGTTGTTTTGTGCTGGGACTGTGTATTTCCTGCTTTGACAAGTCCAAGTCTCTGCCATGAAAACAGTCTATTTCTATACATAAACATACTCAACACACAAAGTAAATTTGGATGTTCTAAAATGGAAACAAAAATAACCCATAATATCAAAATTCAACCTTCTATATTTTTCCATTATTTTTCAGTACTATTAATAACTGAGCACCGACAAAATTATAAAAAGCTAAAAGTTAATGTTAAATCTTTTGAAGTTATATTTGTTATTACTGTATTTTATCTTATGATGCTTTATGGCACCAAACAAACATGTTTGTCTTTCCCACAGATATGACGAGTCAGAGAAGTGCTGGATGGGTATGGTGCGAGAAATTAGCTACGCGGAGGGATCCACTGTTCTTCCAGTGCGTCTCAACACTCTGCGTCTCACCAAGTTATAACTGAGTTGAACTTTTGCTGCCATTATGTAACATTAGTTATGAAGTAAATGAGTGTGCTCACTGTGGACACTGGTCCAAAATTAACTTAGATACAGAATATTTCAGGGTAATAACTGGCTTTAGTGTCTGAAGATGAAAAACTGTTATGAAGCTGCATCAAATTGCTTTGTGTTGTTTTACAGCAGGGGGAGCCAGATACATGTAAAATTAAAGAAGGGCTGAAGGAGAAGGACCAGAGTTAGAATATCTCCCCAAATTTATTTAACAACAAGCTAAAATAATGATTTATACATCTGTTTTTTAAAATATCATTTCATATATTTCTTTATACCTGGTTGCTTTATTTACACAAAAATAAAGATAATGGTTGAATCTGCTGTTTTCAGTGACGACTCTCGCTCAAGGGCAGTTCACATTGACATTACTGGCATTATGCAAATAGCATGAGGGAAGAACATACTGTACAGTTTTAAGTGTAAACATCAAATTCCAGTCAACACCTGAGCACTATAAGTTGTCACCATAAAACACATCCTAAACCAATTCTGTAACCATATTTACAGTTTCACATTAAATGAAGTACAACAGCAATGCCATGAAGTCTGAAGTACTTACAGTTAAGATATACTTTTTACACACCAAAGACAAGAGAGAGATGTAAAGTGAACACTGAGCGCCAACATGACTCCCACATGAAATGCAACACTGCCGCTGCCTCTACGTATGAATGAAGGAAAACATATTACATACACATGTGAACCTCACTGTGGTGTTAGAGGCAAAGCCTACTGAATTATATGACTGTTTGTACAGTGGCAATCCATAAAACAGTTGTTGAGATATTTAGGTCTGGACGAAAGAGGTGGACTAACCAATGCAATAAACTGTTAATATAACAGAACAGAACAGAACAGAAACTACTACTGAAATAATATTCACAATGTTCTGTACTGTGGACTAATAATGGAACACATCTGGTCCATTAGTTGCAGAAACAGTAAAACTGAATATCTGTTAAGTGACTGTGCACTTAGACAAAACTAAACTCTTTGTAATCTGAGATATGTTTCTTAAGAGCTTTAGTCTCTCCTTTTGGATTGTTATCTGGCACTAACTCAGCAATGTGCATGTGCCTTATAAAACTGTCACAGACAGGAGAGGGATGTCTAACACTGTTATGCTATAGGTTCCTCCTATGAGACTGCTTTAATGTTGTTACCACTGTGTCTCTAAGCAACATGGCATGTGCTAGGAGTCCTCTTGTGTGACACACCCTTTTAATAAACAGGACCCAGCTCATCTCTGGCTATCTCCACTATTGTGAAAATGGAAATGTTCCATTTAAGTGTTTTTAATTTTTATTTTATTATTAATTCTTCATGTAAGGACAGTTTTTAATCCATTACACTCAGTAACCAATAACAACTGCACTGCAACAGTGCATGTGAGTCACACATTCAGTGTATAATGATAAAAAGAGAGGGGCAGTTAACTTGGGTTTCAAATGGCAGAGAGGTGCTCCTGACACACAGACACCCGGTGTGTTGTGGGGCTGCATTTGGTCAACATGGTGATCTGGGTGCTGAAGTTGATGCCGTTGCTGCCTATAGAGGGCTGCTGGTACTTAGTGTCAGCACCCAGGAACCTCTGCAGCATCCACCTGCGCCACTTACGCTTAATCTCCGACTGTACCTGCAAGAGAGAAGGGGAGGTAGACAAACACAATGAAGAGGGGGGCGGTAAGAGGGTATGACACACAAGAAGCGGAGGTGAAATAAGATTTAGCAACATAAAAGGACAGAAAACATCTTAAAGAGCAGTTTTTTCATCTGAGTTAGCTTACCTCTCCGTTCAGAAAACAGTACAAAACTGCGACTACAAAACCCTGTTGAAGAGAGAAGTAGATAAAACAGGAACACCCAATAAGAACGATTGTTGAAAAAAAAAATACAAGTGTGATAGAACAGCTGGGGAAACACTCAAAATATCTGTGTATGAATAATGATGGTAAAATTACGACCAACTGCAGGCTCAGACAGGGGATTCATCATTTAAATCTCTGGGAAAGTTTCCCAGGAGATATCATTCTGAGCTAAAACTGTTATAAATAAGGAATACTTTCCATTGCTAGGTTTCCATCATTGCACTTGGCTCTCAGTGTTTATGTTCAGTTTAATGCTCAGTCAATCGGCAACCTCAGTATTCAAGCATGCAAAATTAACATGCAAGATAAACAAACCATTCGCTTGCTTAATCACCAACTGTCTTCATGCTACCAGGCTGTTTTCATGTTATAAAATGGAATCAAAGGTCTTTCACTTTTGTTTTCTATCTGGTTTCATGCTTTTGTTTCCAGTTTAGCCTAAGTAATAACAAAAGAATTAGGTACATCTATGTGCTTAATTTATTGGGAGGTACTACGTCTGTCTGACATTTGGAAGCTGTAATGTTGCTGAGCAGCTGCCTCCTCGTATGTGGTTGTGTGACGTTACCTGAAATGACCCCAGAACAAGATCAAACACCATCCTGACTTGGGGGTGGATGTGATCAGGGATGAAGGCAAAAATGATATAGTTTATTCCAAAGAGAGGTATCAACAGCAGCGTGGATTTAGCCAGTCTCCTAAAAAAGCATTAATATGAAAAAATGACAAGAAGACTTGTGTTCACTCTTGTTAAAATCCTCATAGCTTTACAGTACTTAGCTTTACATTACTTGACACTATGCAAGAGCTGTTATTGCTCACTATCAACAGCATAATGGCAGTAAAATAATTTTTTCCACCTCACTTGATAAGAAATGGCTGGATGCTGTGATAGAGCTGTTGATGTTTTTGCACTGAAAACCTACAAGTACTGATTGGATTCTTTTCTTCCGATGTCGGGGCAATTAATCTTCTGTCGCAAAATCCAGATTATGCAGATGAAGAGGAAGAAGTTCACCTGCCAAGAGATTAACAAACCGGTTAATGTGACTGCATTATGCAGAGCTGTTTAAAACATGCAGCTGATAGAGAGGCACCGTGACTCACAAGTATGGTGACTAAAATAGGTGTTTTGATGATCCACCATGGGTTGTCATCAATTGTCTCCCAGCATCTGTCAGAAAAAACAAAGGAGTAAATTACAGAAAATTCTCTTAAATTAAAAATAAATTTTGAAGCTACTATAGAAAACTCAGTAGCATTTGAGCTGTAATGCCTTCATTTACTGGCTCAGATTCAGACAACCTTAATTTCCCAGAGGGGCAAATTGCTTTACAGCCAGTAGCAATCACACCACAATCGCAATAAACAACAAAAAACTAACATAAAAAAATATACCATTAGTATGTAGCTAGAACCACTGGTATGTAGTAACAGCTTTGTGTCCTGCATGTTGGTATCTATATGTACAACCAGATGGTCGGCTGAAATAAGCCACAAATGACTGGGCTTTTCATAAAGTCCTAGTCCTATACAGTTCACAGGGGTCAGTCAGGTCTATACCTCCAATCTTCCTGCAGGCTTTAACAATACTTTGCAGTCTGTTCTGATTTTTAAGACAAAAACCAGCAGATAAATGCAAATGTAAGCAAAAGCTTTAAAATGTTTTGTTATAAAACTTACATAGGAGAGTTAAAGAAACCAGGTAGTACAAGAATGCACATTTAGCTAAGGATAGCTGTAACTAGCTATCTCATTAGCACCTAAACATAGCTCTCTTGCTTTAGCTGCCTGGTACTGTAGGGCCTAGAGCCCCCAGACTACCAACATATATCCTGTAATAATTTCTATATGATAAAACCTTTCAGAAAGTCTCATCTTAACAACTGCATTTTGACTTTGTAGGGTAGTATAGCCATAAATTGTTCTGCTCTTGTCTGAGGTAATTTCTTTCATGCTGCAGATAAACAGTTTTCCACAAACCTCCACTGTAACCTGCTATTAATCATCACACTAACCTTGATATGATTTCATTGTGTAATTGTGCATTTGCAATCATGTCTTCCTGCTAGGAGCTAAGCCTGGATACCAATCTAAATTGGAGCTGGTAATGATGAGAACTTTACTTTAATTAACAAGATTAAAACAAGGACAAATGATGAACTCACCCAGGATCATTTAAACAAGCTTTGGTAATCACCCATGCTGAGATAAAGATGGTTGGAGCCCCTGTAAACAAGAAACATAAAGAGATTTGTTGTAAGTTATTTCAACATTAAAAATAATCTCCAAGTCAAAGAGAGAACTAATGTTCAAACAAACATTCAACAAGTGTGAGTGATTCAACATGACCAAATATGACAGTGAGGTCTGAGTGTGTGAACACTGCTAATCTTCTGGAAGATTTTATAGCTAAAGTAATATTGTGTTTTTGATATGTTTATCATTTTTAATAGGAATCATACACTACATGCTCAGAAATGACTCATCCTGGACAACTGCAGGAAAATCACATGCCTGTTTCCATTTCCTTTATTTTATTAAAGTAATGGAAAAAGAACACCAGAAATTCAGCCAATTGTTTTGTATATACTGTATATAATATATATACTGTATACTGAATATACTGTATATAAATATATTTGATAAAAGCTCAAAAGAACATCCTTGATATCAAATGGAAAACATCTATCCATTAAATTTACTAAAATGTCAAAGCTGCAATGACAAATCTCTTATTCACATTATGCCTACCATAGATGCATGAGTTTGTTAATTTAGCTGTTCTCCTTTCAAAAGCACCAGAAGCCTCCCTTACACTGAATTACAACAACAAGAGCAGAGTAGCAGCTGCCTGTTGCTGTTAATCTAAAACTGGCAGCAAGACAAATTCATATGTAGATGGGAAGCACCGCATTTTTCTGAAGCTACTGCATGTATAAAACATCACTTTTAAATGTATTTACATATGTTCATGACTGTTGCAGTAAAGACCAAACAGACAAAACAAACATTCAGATTGGCTGATGAGTCATGATTTCTGGCTGCCACTTCAGACAAATCTGCTCTCTCCGTCACCATTTGAGATGATTTGGCGCTGTACAAATAAAATTGGAACCAAATTGAATTTGGCATAGGAGCCAGGACCTACCCCAACCGATTAGGATGTACCACCAGAAATACCTCTTCTCTGAGAAAAACGAGACAGCTAACAGCATCTGCAGATAGAGGCCTTCCACCAGCAGCCAGAAGTAACTTGCCATGACCCCATACTGGAAGAAGACCACCACTGCCTTACAACCCACCTACAAAACAAACAAGAATGTTACTTATTTCAATGGCAGTGAATGCAAATAAATGCAATTTTATTACAAGTGAAATAATGAAGACAAATTTTGTTTCCCGTGGTCAAGGCTACATGGAGAATGGTTTTGGTGAATTACCCTAATATTAATATTGATGGTAAATGGACTGTATTTATATAGCACATTTTTCACAGTGTGTTGCACTGGCCAAAGCACTTTACAGGAGATCATACACCATTCACACATTCACACACCGATGACAACACGGTTATATAAAACAACTCTGTTAAACTTGGCAAGTCAGTCATTAGAAGCAGCAGTGAGGAGTCCGTCATTATCACAGTTAATATGAAGATAGTATAACGAAGGAATATTCTACATGCTTTACCTTATTGTTGTGCCAGTTACACTAATGGAATGCAAGACTAATCGAGTCTGCAATCAAAGTGTATTTAAGATTCATGTTATTAGTTATAGCTCCAGCTCCTCGCAGTACCATGGAAATATACTGCTGCTGTTGGCTCAGCAGGAGCAACATCACAGATTCATGATGAGCAACTGAAACACACACACACTGAACAACAACAATGCCTGCTCTGCAACAGTAACTTAAAGCAAGACTACGTACGTTTTCCTGAACAATGACCACTGAACCTCAAGTTAAAATCATGGGGTCAAGAGTAAATTATACAATGTGGTATAATAGTACTGGGGTGAAGCCTCAAAGTAAGAAAATTTCTCATAACACTATATATTGTAAGTCTTTATCTTAATTTAGCTAACATTAGCTAAAGATAGCTAACATTAGCTCCCATAACCTACTGGTCATAGAAGACCAATAATGATGTAGATGTAAAACCTCTTTGTACAATGAAGTAAGGGTGCATTTTTCTTCTGAATTAAACTTTTAATTGTAGTATTTCTTTTTTAAAAGTTACATATAGCATCAATTTAAAGAGAGTATTTGTATTGCACTTCTATGCAGTTAGAGTCAGAACAATAGAATCTTTAAAATCAAAGTAAAAGGCTGAGAGATCCTGACTTTTAGCCCCTAAGTAGTTCCAAAAATAGTTCCCATAATGCAACTCAACAGCATCTTTCTTTAGACCCAGAAATAGTTAAACACTAAGGAAAATATGCTCATTTTCTGTCTTGCTGTGTATTATGCTATGCTAAGCTAGCCAGAAGACTTAACAGACATATATGAAAATAGTATCAATCTTCTAGTCTTACTAAAGCACTTTAATGAGTCAGAATTCCTGATGTAACTTCCAGGCAAGAACCTAGCTTCCGTATCTCAAAACAATCTTTAACTGAGGGCTTCTTTCATCATTTTTATTGAGAATTGTAAATGTCTTCTATGGTTTACTCATCCTATTCTATTATAAATACTATAAATCACAATAAAGTTGAAACTGATGATAACAAAGATAACAACAATACATTTATTAGCATGTATGTAAAAACAAACAAACAAACAAAAAAAGCCCAAAACCTACAGTTCCCTTGGATATTTACCTACACACAGAATGTGTGCTTGAGTCATTTCAATTTTTTTTTTCATATTCAAAATATCAACAGCTGTTTTAGCTGTAGTCACCACTATCTAACACTGTGTACACTGATCCTCTCCCTGTTGCTTTTGCTTGTAGTTTTCCACAAACATTTTTTTCCTAAACTGTGGAATTTAGAAACTGGTCAGATAATTAGCAGCTGTGTTTGGAACATGACAGTTTGTGTGCCCTGAGGCACTCATGGTACTTAGAGATACTGTACCACTTAGAGATAGTAAAGCAGGTGATTTGCAGTATGCTGATCTAATCCTCTTTGGTAATAAAACAGTGGATTCAGCTACATCAACATCTGAAAAAACACAGTACTGATGCCAATGATTAAAAATAAAATAACCATATATGGAACTACCAAATCCAGGAGCTTATCTAACTCCTTATCTTACATGAGCACTTATGAAATTCTCATTATGATCATGCTGTTGAGATGAAGTCATTAAAATTAGTTATCAAAACTCTGAATGTGATTTATTGGCAAAGCTGTCTGTTGTTCATGTTTAATGTTCAGCAAACAGGAACTCATACAACATCCTGCTAGAGAGATAAATGGAGAAACGTTGTCTCAGGAGTGGAAGCCACTTAGCAAACACAACTACGCCCAGAAGCACTTGAACCCACGCATGTTAAGTAAACTTCAAGACAAAGCATTAAAGTCAGAAAAGCCTGAGTGAGTAATTAAATAGATGCAGTTTGCTTCAGCTAAGAATGGAAAGTAACAGCCGGACTGCTGCTCAAATATCAAATGGACAAGTGAACCTGATCTGAGATGTAAGATTTTTTTATTATATAGGGAAGAAAATCATTCGGCAGCCCAGGGAGAGAAACAGCATACTCACAGTTGGCTGGCAATTGTCACTCTCCCCAACATCATACAGAACCACGTCCTTTATGAAAACAGCCACAGCTTTCAATATGAATGACACGAACAGATGGATGTGGATGTAGTTTCTTGTGCAGTGCAGCTTCCTGTAAAAGAAATAAACAGTTACATGATTCATATAAAAAAGAAAAGGAACGCACATAATGAATTCCATCTGATTAAGGATGCAGAATAATCTGTTTATGAGAATAAGTATCACAGAAAATGTTCATAAGAAACTTCGCTGACCAAATTTACAGGGAAAAACATTCATACAAAGTATGTGCATTTCAGCAGAGGACAGGACATAGGCACTTAGTGTACATGACTACTGCCTTGTGTTGTGCTCATGCTGGACTGTCACGCTACATATAAACTTTTCAGTTGTCAAGGAAAGCTATCTGCATCTTTTAATAATTCAAAAAATGAAGTTTTACAGTGAAACACATTTAACAGGCAAATATGAAAAACTTGACACTGGGCACAGAATCAAATAAGAACAAATCAGGTTTTTGGAGAGAAAATCTCTGTAATGTAAATTCTCTTGTCAGAGTGTTTTCAAATAAATGCCTTCCTAGTGAGGTGGGGGTGAATTGTGTAAACCCATCAGGCGAGCCATCCCAGGCAGGACGTGTGTGATGACATACAGCATCAAGCAGCTGCCTGTAGACTACGACTGCAGCTGAACATAAACAGTAGGCGCTCCACAGTCCAAACCACTGGCATTTTATATGAATGAGGAGTAAACACTTCCCATGTTGTTCAGCTCATAACACACAGATTCAAACACACCCAACTGAACAGAGTGGAATGTTTATTAGAAACCACACACACTGAAACATATTCTAATGATCTCTGCTGTATCATGCCGGTATGCACACACACTCT